TCAAAACCCAAAATTATGGTTTGAGGTTTTCACGAGTATATATGACGTACCTCCACGTATACCCAGTGTATTAGCGAGAGTCTGAGTCCAAAAAATAAAAGAGTTACACATGGTGTAGCTCCCACGTATGCCATGTGTAGGGACTAAAATGCAAACTTTTTGGATTGTTAAGCTTAAAATGAAAAGTAACTGAAATTGAATGTTACAATTCTCCCCTACTTGAATCAGACTTCATCTTCGTAGTCCACCTCCACAAACAATTGTGGATAGTGCTCTTTCATCTCCTCAACAAGCTCCTATGTCCACTCCGAGCCTTTATGGTGTTGCCACTACACCTTCACTCAGCTTACTTCCTTGCTCCATAGGGTCTTTGTCTTCTTATCGAGGATCGTGATCGGTCTCTCAAGATAACTCAAGCGCTCATCCACCTATATATCCTCCAAAGGAACCACTACGGAATCATCAACCAAACACTTCCGTAACTAAGAGACGTGAAAAGTGATGTGAATCTGACTGAGCTCCTCGGGTATCCAAATGATAGATAAACCTACCCACCCGAGCAATAACCTTGAAAGGGCCGATATATCTGAGGCCCAACTTACCCCAATTCCTGAACCGAATGACACCTTTCCATGGTGACACCTTCAAGAGTACCATATCCCCAACCTAAAATTCCATATCTAACTGGGGTCTATCATTGTAACTCTTCTGTCGACTCTACGCGGTCTGTAATCTCCTGTGTACCTATTGGATCACCTCGGTAATCTGGAGCATCACCTCCATTGTAACGCCCGCAAATCCGGGCTAGTCAATTTAGAGGCAATAGGGGTCGAAAATGACTTTTCTACAAAAGGTTATTTAGAATAAATAATCTTAACCAAGTTGTAGAATATGTCACAAGGTTTCCGTACATATAAAGAACGCCGAAATCCGAGTTATAACGAAGAAGTTATGGCCCGTCGAAGTTTCGCGACGGAACCGGTACGGCACCGGGAAGCGTAAATAGTGAATTTAAGATGGAGGACTTTTTAGCCTTAGTGATCTAAATGAAATTCGTAGAATATGTTAATCTAAGAGCGTCGATAAAAAGAACGCCCAAATCTGACTTCGTATGAGGAAGTTATGATTTTTCTAAGATTCGGCTTAGTAGTGTACAGCCCGAAACTCGAATTTTAGTTCGAGTGGTTTTTGGCTTACGCGACCTAAATGAGAGTTGAATATCTCATTAATAGGAACTCAACGGTAAAAAGACATACGGAAACGGAGTCCGTATGAAGGAGTTATGAATTCTTCACGGTCATTTAACAGTCTAAACGCCTCTTACTGTTAAATTTGAGATCGGTCGAGAATTAGCCGACGGAGTCTTAATGAAAGTTGTAGATCTTGATTTTACCTACGCGTGGATATAAAGAACGTCGAAAACGGAGCTCGTATGCAAAAGTTATGATTTTTCTAAGTTTGAAGGCTAATACGCGATAGGGGGTGACGTGGCACCACCAGAATTGGACACGTGGCACCACCAGAAGGGTGCCACATGCACCAACTCGGCGAGTCATGATTCAGACTCGGCAATTCCATCAGGTTTTTCCACTATAAATAGAGGTATCGGGTTCCATTCATTCTCACACCTTCCAAACCTTCTTTCTCTCTCTAAACTCTCTCTCTAAGCCTCCCTAACCCCCCAAAGCCTAGGGTAACTCCCTAGCACGAGGCGGAAGCCCCGGAGTGCCCGACGGCTCCGAGAAAAGAGCCTTTCGGCTCGGGAAACGCTACTCCAGCGAAGCCCGGTTTTGCGAAAAACCCGCTGTAAGTGAGCTACGCCTACGCTAGTTTTAATATAGCTTCTAATTAATTATAGTAACATTATTAGGACCTTAAAATAATTATTTGGGCTATTATTATGAGTTATATTGAGTGTTATTTAACGCTTATATAATAATAATAATAGTCAGACTATTGATTTGTCGCGGATATCGGTAGACTAAACCCTAGTGGTGTTGATAATATGTTTTATCGAAGGAAAGTTGTTTTGAGAGTATCGAAGCGTTGACCGAGTGTTGAGTCACCACCTTTCAAGTGAGTGCATAGTTAATTTCATCTTACACATAGATATGAAGTATTTTATATAAATTACGTGCTATGTGTGCATATTATCTGAATACTTTTTGTCTATGCTGGATGAACGATTTTATAAATGATTTAAACTGTATATGTATTTTATATCTATGATAATGTTGGGGTAAAACATGGGTAGATGATGATGATGGATAAAAGTTGAAATAGTGGAACATTAGTAGCATGAACCTAGTGCCCTATAGGTATACATTGGCAGCAGTGGACCTAGTACCCTATAGATGAGCACTGGCAGCTGCGCCACAACCCGTAGATGTTTCAGATCTACGGTAAACATCCTAGCAGCTGCACTCTAAGGACAGTATCGGCAGCTGCGCCTAATAGGGAGCCTTATGACCATGACAGTAGCGTTTAAAGGTCAATACCGGCAGAAGCGCCTCATAGAAAATGTCCCAATTCTGGCAGTTGCGCCTAAGTGACAAGATTAGCAGTTGCGCTTGACCAATGTGTCATTGGCAACAATGGACTTCATGTTGTTTCCTTAGGATGATCCTTAGAAATGAATTAATGAGAAATAACTGATTCTTAGGGTAGACCCTTAAGAATAAAGAAGATAATGGGGATGGGTAATTGGGTTGATTGTTTGATTATTTAAACATAATAATTATATTATTATGGGTTGAAAACCCTATGTACTCACCAGGTTTCCCAACCTGACCCACTCAGTTTATTTATGTCACAGGTGTTGATATGAAGTCACATTACACTGAGAGATTAAAGAGATGTAGATCACTAGTGTAAATAAATGTAAGTTCTGTTTATACTTATGTTCCTGTATTGACGATGACATCCCAAACGTTTTAAAATGAATAAAATACGTTTCTTCGAAAATGTTTTAATAACGTATTTATCGTGTTTTTCTGCGAACGAATTCCGCAACATTTTTATTAAAAGAAGAACTCTGATTTTTATAAAGCATAAACAAAATCGGTCTTTTGTAGCCGTGAAAATGGGGATGTCACATCCATGCTACCCATAACTAGTTTACCGACCTCACCCCAGCAAATCGGGGTCCGACACTTTCTCCCGTAAAGCATATCAAAAGGGGTTCTATCAATACTGGCGTGGTAGTTGTTGTTGTAAGAAAATTCAACCGATAGAAGATACGTATCCCAGCTACCGCCAAAATCCAATACACATGCTCGAAGAATATCCTCCAAGGTCTGGATAGTCCGCTCACTCTGATCATTAGTCTGCAGATGAAAAGTTGTGTTGAAGTGCAACCGAGTACCCAACTCCTCATGAAACATCTTCCAAAACCTGGAAGTGAACCGAACATTCGGATCCGAAACCACCGAGACGGGAACCCCATGCCATGCTACAACCTCCTGGATATAGACATATGCTAACTTCTCCGCATAAATGCTCTCCTGAATAGGGATGAAATGCGCAATCTTGGTCAATCAATCCAGGATGACTCAAATCGAATCCACCCCTCATGCGGTTCGTAGTAGCTTTGTGATAAAATCTATCATGATCTCTTCTTATTTCCAAACGGGAACAGAGCAAAGAGACATTAATGCATCGCCAATAATGGAGGATGTGTTTCGGTGAATAGAGCGGAGAGACAGAGAAGCAATGCCGGTGATGGAGGGTGGCTACTAGAGTTAGGAGCTGATTTAAGTGTGATGTGAGGTGTTTGAGGGTATGAAAAAACATCATGAAAGAAAAGGTTAGAGTGAGGGTTAAATTTATTTTTAGTAAAATTAGTTTAAAAAATATAAAATAAATAAAACAGTTAAAAAAATCATTTTAGATGGGTAAATTCTCAACTAGCCAAGAAAATAAAACCACAAATACGAAACATGTTTCGATAGTTGTCCGCACCATATCCATCATAGAGACCAATAATTTTGTTTTAAAAAAAATAGTTCTTTGTTTTTTTTGTCCACGTCATCTAATAAAACCAATATCAATCGAAACATATAAAATGATAAATCTAATAAAATCAATGTCAATTGAAACATATAAAATGATAAACTTAATATCAACTTTAAACGTGTAAAATGACAAAATCAATAATAAAAATTAATGCATGAACAAAATTTAATATAGTGGTTTTTTATAAGATTGCGGTAATTACTTTTATTTTGCTAATTTTGACATTTTGATAGTCACAAGAAAACTGCAAAAAAGGAAAAAGATAATTAGAATTTCAATGACAACGTAGAGGTTTCTTGTTAAAAAAAAAATCAACAAATTAATTGATAAGGTAAAATGGTAAATCACATATAATATGATTCTTTTGTATTTCATCTTTTTTTTTTTTTTTAAATTAAAACAAAACCAGGCAAATAATATATAATTCATTAATATTTTGGTATTTGTCCTTTTTAAATTGAAACAAACATTCACTTGTCTACTCCTATATTTTTATCATTTGTACCAATGTAAATAGAACCTTAACATTTGGCTGAAAAGAACAGTCAACTTTCGATACCTGTGGGCCACAAATGTATATTTTATATTAAACCAAAATCAAATCATGTATCTGTCCCATTACTTCTCAACTTTTGTAATACGCAAACATTTCTTAATAACATACCCCTCTATTTTTAATAACCCAAATATTAAGATAATAATGGAGCTACCGAAAGTTAAGCTCTTCAAAAGATTCCTTTTAAATTATAATCAATCAGCCAAGATTTTGCTCCCAAAACAAGAACTGAATCTTCAGCATCTGATCACTAAGATTTCATTTCTATACGCTACTTGTTCGTCTACAAATTTGTTTGTCACTCGAAAAAGATAGTTTGACCATTATGCAGAGCCTTTATTTGTCAAAATCTAGATGATCAATACACCCACCTAACAAAACAACTAAATCGCTCCAAGATTCATCAAAGGTTTTGGGTGATCAAGCAAACATGATCGAAGGAGAAGATAATTATGAAGAGGAGGAAGAAACTCCCATGTTGGGGTTATCTTCTTTAAAGCTCACTGGTTTGCTTCGTTTGATCTTCAATTTCTTCTCCTCTTTTTCACTTTTTGTGCTTGGGTTTCTGTTTTACTCCATGTTGATTTTGATTTCGATATATCATATACGTAACAGTTGAACAAGAACTCATCCATGGAGTTTCTGCCACCAATGATCACAACAACACAATAAGAACAGGTTGATCCAAAGTCAAACACCCTTTTGTGTTTTTCCAAATCCATTTTCAATCAAACAAATCATAACTCTGGATAGATTAATTGGATTCAGGAACACTATGGAGTACAGTTGCTCACATCATCACTGCAGTGATCGGATCCGGTGTACTTTCTCTTGCATGGAGCATGTCACAACTAGGTTGGATAGCTGGGCCTATCGCATTGTTGTTCTTTGCATTGGTCACGTATGTTTCTGCATCTCTTTTATCAGATTGCTACAGATCACCCGACCCCATTAATGGAACTCGAAACCAAACTTATACAGAAGCAGTTCGAGTCATCTTGGGTACTACAAGTCTACACTACACGTTCAAAGTTTATAATATAATTAATAATCTAATCTTTCATGTACGTAGTTTCTACATTTAAGTATTATTATTGGGTCAACAGGTGAAAAACAGGCGTTGCTATGTGGTTGGCTTCAGTTTCTTAACTTCTTTGGGACTGGTGTTGCTTATGTGGTTACAACCTCAACTTGTATGATGTAATTAATTAACTATGCCTCTTTCTCAAATGTTTTCAAAGAGATGTTTATTGTTCATGTATACAACACTTTATACTTTATCCATACAGAGCAATTCAGAAATCAAATTGTTACCATAAAGAAGGGCAGGAGGCTACATGCGAATATTCGGGAAATCTTTATATGTTTTTGTTTGGAGTTATACAGATTGTGATGTCACAAATACCTGATTTTCATAGCATGGTGTGGGTGTCCATTGTTGCTGCTATCATGTCGTTTTGTTACTCGTCCATTGGTTTAGGACTTGGTGTCGCTAAAGTAATTGGTACGTATATTATATTAATAGAATAATGGTTGAATGAAGCTTGAGTTGTTAAAAGCAGTTTCTAATAGTTATGTTCGAAATCAGAAAATGGTAGAATTGATGGAAGCATCAATGGTGTCCCAGCTGGCAATGTACCTCTAAAACTATTGTTAGCTTTTCAAGCGCTTGGGGATATCGCGTTTGCTTATCCGTATTCCATAATTTTTCTTGAAATACAGGTTGGTAATCTGTTAAGAGAAATTAAATATCCTCTTACATTTTCTTCTTACTTATCCTCTTATATTCATATTAAACTGTGACAAGTGGATTGAAATATTATTAATTTTCATTAAATGCGATATATATCAACATTTGATATAGATAGACATTTGATATAGATAGAGTACGAGTCAGAAAAAAAATGTCAAAGCTTCAATTATTTAGAGTTTTAGTTTCACCATTGGATTTGAATCCTAGTGGATAGTGAATCTTTATGCCAACCATTTAACCGAAACCAATAGACGTACAAATTATTATTGAAAGAATAACTTTTTTGTTAGAAAGATCTGTTAAATGTTCGTCGACAAATGATATTTTTTTTTTTTGTGTTTTAAGGATACCATTAAGTCGCCACCACAGGAGAATAAAACTATGAAAAAGGCATCGGTTATTGCGATTATAGTGACTACATTCTTTTACTTTGGATGTGGATGCTTTGGATATGCAGCATTTGGAAACAGTACACCAGGAAACCTGTTAACTGGATTTGGGTTTTACGAGCCTTACTGGCTTATTGACTTTGCTAATGCTTGCATCATTCTACATCTAATCGGAGGATACCAAGTAAATACTCTCACTACTCAATATCCATTCTACAATTTTGACTTTTCAAGTCAAGTCAACGACTTCATATATCAAAATTAACATACGAATCTATTTATAAATATCTTGATTTGAGTATTATTGCTTCTTTTGACCTCAACAGTTAATATTAACGCCTGTTTCTTTCTTTCTTTTTTTGGTAAGGAAAGCTATACAGTCAGCCGGTGTTTGCATATGTAGAAAGATGGATAACTGAGAAGTTCCCAGAATCTGTATTTCTAACGAAAATCCACCACTTGAAGCTTCCATTTTTGCCAGATTTACAACTGAATCTATTCAGATTATCGTTCAGAACAGCATACGTTGTGTCAACAACTGGAATCTCAATGGTGTTCCCATACTTCAACGAAATATTGGGTCTCTTAGGGGCTTTGAATCTATGGCCATTAGCAATATATTATCCAGTGGAAATGTACAAAAAGCAAAGAAAGGTGGAAGCTTGGAGCACAAAATGGATTGTTCTACAAATTTTTAGCATTGTTTTAATGGTGGTGTCAGCAGTAGCTTTAATTGGATCAATTGGAGGAGTCATAGAAGCAAAAACTAGCTAACATGTATCCAAAATGTAATCAAACACTGCTTATTTTATATCACAATATCACATATAACCATAAATACAGTTCCTATCAGACTACTTATCAAATTTACTAGCTTTGTAGTTCTTCTATTTGTTCCTCACTTTAAAGTGGGGATAGAATCATAGAATATAAATCAAGCAAAATATGATGATGAAGATGATGTGTCTGCCAAAACCTGCAAGTTTTTTTCACCATGATTGTTATAATAAAGTCTATTGATTTCAATTGATTTTCTTGGAAAAGATTCAAAGAAGATGATGATGATTATAATCATGATATTATTTACCTCAAGCTGTTCTTCAGTGAATGAATCTTTCTGAACACTCCAAGTGTCTGCATGTGTCCTACGAAACTCTGCAACTGCTTTTGTAACAGTGGATTTAACTGGTGATGATTCCCCAACAAATCGAGCCAATAATGTTGCATGTTCAGGCAACCAACTAAAAAAAAAATCAAGAAATGAAAATTAGAGATACCCTTTTTGGATATAATAAAGTAGAAGAAATATATAAGACCTTTTAGAGTTTAATTACCTTGGCATATCATAAGGAACTGATAACACACATGCAACAAGAGCAAGAACACAACCATGTACAGAAGCAATTGAAGGACCAGAACTTGAGCTTCTGAAGAAATAAAGTAAAAAAAAAACAACTTGATGAATCTTGTTTTGAAGCAATAAGAGATTGAAATTTTGTAAAATCGATAAAAAAAAAAAAGACCTTTGTTTTCTTCTTTTCTGAAGCTTTGTAGCCTCATTGTAAGCTCTTTCACGGAAATTCTTTGATAGTTCTCCATCTTCACCCTTCATTAAGCCAGCTAAAACTGCTGCTGCATGTTCCCTTACCTGTATATATATTAAATTAATAATAAATATCTTTATTTTATTCAAACACAAAACAAAAAAAAAAACTAAACTAATTAAATAACAAAACTTGCCTCCACTTGGTTATCTGTAAGTAGCTTCTCAACTGTTTTCCAGATTTTCTGTTTCTCATCATTGGAGAGGATGAAAGTGTGCCTGTGAATGTGAGAATAACTTAATATCAAATAAAATTATGAAATTTTTTTTATGAAAAGAGCTTATGGATGCATATATACCTGTACATAAAGCTTCTTAGAAAAGTCAAAGTTGCAGATCTGGTCCTCCAGTTGGGATCTTCTGATGAAGATAAAAGAATGGAAACTGCCTTTCTGAGATGAGCATCTGGAAATATTCTCCATTTTAGCAACTCAAAAGCTGCCTTTGCTAGTATTGACAAATCTTTATTTGAAGTTTCCTTCAAAAAAACAACAATAACAGCTTGTAAAAACAATGTGGAAAAGAAAAGAAAAGAAAATCTCAAATTCCACATAGGCATAAGTTTATAAATATCACATACCTGTAAAGAGATCACAGGGTAAAGAAACCCCACAAGCACATCTAGCAGGAATGCAGATCTTCCAGACTTCATTAATGAGATAACAAAATGGAACAACTACACAAAAAAAAAAAAAAAAAAAGAACAAATATTATTTTTTTTATATAATCTACAACAGTGAAACAAACACAATTAAAAAATAATAATAATTACTGTTTCCATCCATTGAACATCATCAGGTGAGTTGCTATCTGAGAGGGTGTTTGTATCTGATAATTTCTCCAAATTGTCAGAAGGATTTGCATTCTGAATTGACACCACAAGTTCAGTTGCACGTTTTTGTAAAACCTGATCCCAACTATCTCCATGTTCTCCATTTCCCATATTACCCTTCTCATAATAGTCTACATTAAAGGATGCATGTAGTCTGATATTTGAGCACAACACAGAAAGAGCAATAGCAATTGCTTCTCTCACCTGTTTCAACATACAGAAAAAACCAATATGTTAAACTTAAAGTCTTAAACAATTAAACACCCATTATGTATTCAAGGGTAAAATGGTAAAAAAAAAACTCACATGGGCAGTGGGATGGCTCATTCTATCGAGTAACTCCTGGAGCAACTTATGATGGAGTTCAACTTCTGATAATGGCATTCTTGGAGGTGAGACTTCAATCAAAGCAGCAGAAAGGAAAGAGTATCTTTTGGCAACAACAGTAGTGGTTACTGTTTGAGGTAAAGGCTGAATCAAACAATCCAAGATTCTTTGTCTTAAAAGAGGAACTCTTGTTCCATATTTACCCTTCCCAGTAACTGCATATCTTATACAAGCAGCCCATTCTGGAATAGATTCTACTGAAGGTGCAAGAAGAATGCTCTGTAATTGGACATTCATCCAGCTGTCCCATGCTTCTACAAGCCCGATGACATCAGCATGAAGCAATCCTGCAAAAGCTTCAGCAGCAACACACTGTTTGGACCTCTCTTTTGCATTTACAAATTCCTCTAATGCACTTTTCAGTGAGTGTAAAACAGGGACACCACATTCTTGAACTAATCGTTTGAATATTCGAGCAAAACTCGAGTAAAAAGTATCACTTCCAAAAAAGGAAATCCAAGAGGGTGTTCGAGGCCATGAAGATGAAAAGTCAAAGTAGAATCGGGTGATGGATTTGTCAGCTAAACTCTGGAATGATGAATTCCCATGTCCACTTCTTGAAGATGAGTTTTCTGTGTCACTGATGATGTGGACATTTGAAAGACTATCGAATGTTTCACTAAAGAATCCTTCCTCTTGAAAGATATTACTCAAAGTCCCTTCAAGTGAAGACTTTGTGTTTTCTTGTGAATCTGATTGTTCTTCATGTGATAACTTGTAAGGTGACTCTTTTAGTAACATGTTCAAAGCAGAAATGGCTAGGATTCTTGTTTGTGGAAGTTGACTTTTTAAATTCTTTAGGAAATGACCAGCTGCTTCACTGAGAATCTTTGATGATAAATTTGGTTCATTTCTAGATGACATAGCTAACAACAAGAGAACCCTATTTGCCATCAAGTTATACCTATATGAAACAATTAAAAAAAAAACTCAATACATGTTTTGCTGAGTTGAAATAATCATATATTCATGCGTGTAAACTGTATAAGCCAGAATGTTTACCTCCAATGTAAATTAGTTGACTCAAAACTCATAGAACTTATCTCAGAAACCAAAGCTGCAAAATCTGTTCCAGAATTGTTCTCTGATTTCCAGAAAACGTTTCTAGAGATCCCCGAAAAATAGATGTTGTATTTGACAAATAGCTGTTGATAGTTGCAAATTGCAAAGATTAGGTATTCAGTTAGCAAGAAAACACACAGAAAAGTAAGCTATTGAATCATCTGTGAACATTTACCTCATTGATAGCTTTCTGGGATTTCAAGGATTCATGATGAGAACTGCAAGCATAAACATAATGTCACACTAGATTCGATACGTATAATTCGAATGATATAGTAATAATAGTATATACATAAGACACTTGCCTCAAAAGAATTCCAAGAAGGAAAGATGAGAAAGATTTTGGCTCCTGTGTATAAATAGGAAAAGAGAATAACTCATGACTCATGTAAGAAAAGAAAATGGAAAGATAATATGACACTATAATTAACAACAGAATACCAATGTGAGATGCTTGAGAACAGTTTGAGTTCCAAGAACAGCACAAGAACCTAAAACCATGTATTCTGGTGTGTTTGCATTTCTAAGATTTTCAGTGAGTGTATGCACACACTTTGCAATGAGAGAAGGCCACCTTTTGATCATTTTCACTAGAGATCTTCCAGCAAGTCTGAACATTAATATATAAATAAAAAAAAAAAAAACTAAACTTATCAAAAGGGTACCAATGAAAACAATACACTATATTAAAAGCTTAAGAAAAGTAGAAAACTCACGTGCGAACAGTGTCATAGCTATGAACAGAAAGATTAAGAAGATCATCCAACAAAAGATTCACACTCTCTGAAGGAGAAATGTTTTTTATAGTACGAAACAAATGATACGATGATTGTGATGTTCTCCATGTATTGTGCATGTATGCTTTGTCAATGAGGGCCCACCTTGGTCTGAAGCAACAAATCAAAACTAGGAATTAGGAAAAGAAAACATTTTGTCATTCAGAAGAATCAAGAATATATATATATATATATATATATATATATATATATATATATACATATATATATATATGTATATATGTATATATGTTTATACCTTTTCTTCCCTTTAGAACGTGAAGGCATAATGAAATTAACAGGAGGTTCGATTATGGCAACAGATTCCAATTTCCATGCTTGCCTATGATTAGTCCACTCTTCATATTCAGAACTTCCTGTATTAAGTTAGTTAAGAAAACAGGTCTAAAAGGTAATATTGAAAGTCATATTGTTGAAGGGTACATTAGTAAATTACCATAGTTTCCTAAAGCCTCGATGATACGGATGAGGAGTAGCAATAGAATACTGTCATCTGATTTTTTCTCAAGCAAGTATCTGCAAGAGATACGGATATTTTACTTTTTGAATTTTGAGAGATTAGAAGATAGAAAAAAGTGAGATGAGAAAAAAGGAGACAAGATTTATTTATTTACTTTGAGGCGACATGAATGATATTAGCAGCTTTTTCACGCAATTTAATGCTACCAACACTTGAACCCGTTGCTCCAGCAATCAAGAAAGGTGGATTTCCAACTTTCCCATTTTTAAATGAAGGTATAAAATCAGGCAAACATGACAAAACACCTTGTAATGAGGAATCAATGCGCAAAAGTGTCACTTTCAAATGGTCTTTTTCATTTCCTGTAGATCATAATTGATATATAATAAGACAAACATGACAAATTATCATGTTGTTTTATTCGGATAAACATTTTAACACAGGTATACCAGGATCAGAATGGATTTTATCTTGACATATTTTGAGAAGCTCATCTAAAGCTGATTCCAAATGTAGATTTAAAAGCTCATTGGCAAATTGAATTTCTTCCTCACTAGGAATATGCCATTTGGGGCCTGTAAATCCTTCAGTGTTTGAAAAACCTTTATTACTTATCCATTCCTCAAGAGGGGTCAAAGATGAATTGGCTGAAACAGACCTATGAAAAGCAAAAATTCACATTTCAATGAGTTTAAACGAGTTACAAAAGAATCATTTGTTGATTATTCACAATTATAAGAAAAAATGGCAACAGAAACATACTTGTATTGATCAACAGGATAATAGAGAACAAGACTTCCAAGAAGGGATCGAAGGACTTGATCACCAGCTATGTTAACCTTTCAAATTACAAAGTTGCAACAAATTAAGACATATTAAGAACAAGAATCAAAAGAAATTATTAAATCAAAGATGTAAAGAAACCTTCCAAGATGGGGATTCAAAAGCAGAATGTATTGTCTCTTTGAATTGATCCTTGTAATGAAGAAGTGAAGGACCTCCATAACTTATTGCAATTGACAAAACCTTCAGCTGATAATCAATGGATGTTTCTAGAGCTGGAGAAAGTGTGGCTCTTTCCTATCAATATTTATCAAAGAGATTAATCATCAACACAAGTTGCATATGAAACATACAACAAAAGATGTGAACAGAATTATATTTTTATGAAATTAAAACCTTATTCAACGATTGGCTAGTGAAATTCCCACTTCCTCCAAAACCCGTGAGAGGAATTCCTTTTAAAGATGATATAACAGAAGATAGAAGAGGTTCAACAAGATGACTAATAGCAACATCTGGATTTGAATGGATACATGCACAACAAAGGAGCCCAACTTCAGCAATAGCTCCAGGTAGAATATTCGTCTTCAAAAACTTGGAAACTTTTTTAATGGCCTGAAGGGTATATATGGAAATCTTATGAAATTTGAAAAATTCACAAGCTAACTCTAAATAATCGAATAATTTGGAGAGAAAAAGTTGAACCTGATTGTACAAAGATCTTGAAAGTCTTCCAAATAATATTTCCAACATGCAAAAATACTGAGGACCATCTTCAACAAGAAATGTTCCAGATGTTGCAGGTGAATGGGCGTCTTCATTTCTGCACCAAATTACAGGGATTAAACATGTAAAAGTTCCAAACTAGAGGGACTAAAAATGTAAAAGTACTTACAAAACACTACTAGGTTCCAAGTGTTGCAACAAAGAAAACAGGCGACATAAGAACTCATCAAGCCACTCTGAAAAACGTTCTGCAGGCATGAATGACAAATTATCTGTATCATCATCCAAAGTTGCCATCTGAAATTGGTACATAACTCGGTTAATTAATACATGAAAGTATGAAACTTTTCTTCAAAAAAGACACAATTAAGAAAATTTTATGATTACATTGGAAAATATGGAGCCAATAAGTTGCATTGTTGCTAGGGTTTTGGGTGGATCATTGGCATCCATTCCAAGTAAAGCATTGGTAAGTGATATCATCAGAAGATCTTTGAACATGTCAGCATCATTAACATCATCTGTTTCCATTGATGATGAAGATAAAGACATCAAAAACAATGATCTCCCTGAAAAAGCTACCGATGTGACAGCTGTCTTCAACTGATGTGTAGCTGTCATCTAACCATTTATGAAGAAGATTAAGTCATAAGAATGTCCAAATTAAGTCCAAAAATTAAAAAAAAATGTTATGTCACAAACCGTTTCTAGAGCCATGTGGAAACGAGAGACCAAAAATGGCAAAACCAATGAAGGCTCCACATAGGATAAAATAGAAGTTGCAGCAGCAACTGTTTCAGAAAGGTGTTCATTTTTACTATATTGCCCTCGATCGATTAACTTCAAAACAGTAGTGACAAAAGATTCCCTTTCTGGTTGTCCTAAACAGAATTCAATCTCTTCACTGCTATCTGGATTCCTGAATTTATTACAAATCATATTATTATACAAGTAAAAGATAGTCAAAAGTGGATGAAAAAACAAGAGAATGAGATGATGTTCTTACTCTTTCTCTCTTTGTAAACGTTTTTGAAACGTATACACCAAATGAAACAAAAATCTTTCAAGTGAGTATGTCCAACGACCACCATTAGAAGGATGATAATATCTGCAACAAGTATCCAATCATGTGTTTTATAAATATAAATACACATCACAAATCATAAGTCATAAACCACACATATATCATTTAAAGATTTGCAATAAACAAAAATCTAGAAAACAAACTGTTCTAAGAGGTTGACCAATTTCTCAAAGTGTTGTTGAGCCAAGCTACCAGGCCTTAATAAATAAACCTACAACGTATTAGAAACATACATATGTTAGGGACCAAAATAAGAATTAACAAAAAGAAATCTATCAACTATGACTAATCATATATATATGGAATGGATATTACAATCGATTTTGCAATGGCTTTTGATGGAGTGTGTGATCTATTGGAGAACAAAAATCTTGTATTTCTTGGGACATCAATAGAGAAAGGGTATGATCCACCTCCACTTGCCACAGGCACCTATAGAAATGACATGACCACTTTTCAATACATGTTTTCAACTTGAAATCTTTAAAGAACACAAGTGATGAGTAATGATTTTGATTCCTCTTAGAAGAAACTAGAAAGTACCTCAAACATGTTCAAGAATCGACTAAAGATCTCTGGTAAAAGATCCTCCCAATCCTTGGATTTGTAGTTCTTAATAACACGAGCAATAATAGCTGCCCATTGGCTGTTCCAAAATTGACAATTTGGTATGGAATCCCATTGAAGAATACATGCATTGATCCACTCTCTGTAATCACAAATAAAGGTTATCGATTTGCTTCAATAATTGTATAAAGAAAACAAACATCTATAAATTATAATCACCTTGAATAGAAATCCTTGTTATCGATATTTGTAGGAAGGAAAAGTCTCACAAATCCAGACCCTTCAAAAGCCGAGTTATGCCATGGATTTTCAAGTAGAGATCTGCAAATTGACAACATTATAACTTATAAGTTATACTATTATTATCAAAAAACTATCTTGAATTATCATTATTAGTAACTTACTTAAACTCAGACCATATCTCTTGAGCAGAATTTGGAGGGAAAAACCTTCTACATGAACGAACAAGAGAAGTAACTGTCTCAAAATGTCTTTGTCTTATCCTCCATCCCTCTGGTCCTGTGTTTCTGTAGCATATATATGTCATAAAAAAGTTAATAAAAGAGTATCAATGACACTCAATGAAAAGAGTAAAAGACAAGTGACTTTGATATGCATTATAGTCATCATTTTATGAATAGATGTATACCTTGTGAAGTGTGTTTGAATCATTGTATCATAGAAAGGGCGCCAGTCAACTTTCAAAGTCAACTTTTTGCGAAATTTATTCAGCAAGCTCACAAGAACATTACCCCATCTCACCTAAGTGATTTCAGTTTCAGTATCAATGTATAATTTGGGAGATGTTTTGTAAGACAAACAAATACCTGAGCATAGAGTTTGTCTTGTGATGAATGAAACACTTGAAGCCCAAATTCCACAAGAGTAGAAACATCTTCCAATGATACTTCACTTTTTGCCTTTACAAACCTGCATGATTAATTAAGTGGTAAATATAAAAAATAAACTACAGAGATATAAGATACAAAGTATGAAATTAAGCATGTAACCTTAATCATCTGTCAAAAGTTAAGCATAAAGAACATATCAAGACTTATGCATATGTACTTTTATAGAATGCCTGTATATAGTTTGTTTGTTTCAGAAAATTCAATATAATAAAGACTAAAATAGCACAATGCGTTCAGGGTTTTGACCAAAAAACAGATGAAGCCTCAAGATGTCAATGTTTGGGGATGTTAGTCCCCAATTACATCATGGTTCTGAAAGAACCTAATTCTTTAACTTCGTGGATGGGATTAATTAGCATTATTTCATCACATTTGGTTCTTGCCTATTTTACAGAAACTAAAATGTAAAGAAAAGATTAATAATACTCAAAATTGAACTGTTGGCGCTACTAATAGTTGACCTGTCTGAGTAAAGACTCGAGATTTCATTAAAACATTCATCAATGATCAAGAAACAAGTAAAAGATCGAAAATTTATAGTAAAATTAAGTATAAACTAACATAGAAAGAAGCGATCGTTGTTACTTGCACAAGAATGCACATAAAAGAGTGAATATAATAGCGAATTGATACTGTAAAACAATTGGAACTTACAGGTCAATGACTGATATCCATTTGAGAGTGGAGTAGACAGATTCTGGATCACCCTTAGTGTACGATTCTTTCACGGATGATACAACACCAGCGAAGGATTCTTTCTCTTTCTTGGTGGCGACGGCGACCGGAGGCGGGAGCCAGGCGTTATAGCGGTGCATTTCTACCTCTGGGTATCAGGGTATGTATAATTTGTATGTGTTTCTCGATGATATATGTGTATATATAGAGGGGTTGGTCTTTTTCTTTCTGAGCAAGACAGAGATTGGAAATTTAGAGCAAACGGGGGGTAATTGGTATGAGTGGGTAAGGAAGGGAACGGGTGACCGGCAACCCAAGTCGGCGGTGGAAGGAGCTTCGGGTGAAGTTGATTTGCAACAACAATCTTATTAAGGTTTTGGTTTTGGTTTTTGTTTAGTTTTAGCAAGAAACCGTCGACTTTGGGGTCTACGGTTCTCTAAATCCCTATTGGAAAAGAAAATTTATTTTTAACATGTTTTTTATTAAAAAGATTAGAGTACAAAAGCACAACACTAACACAATACCAATTATCTTATATCATAATTTGGGGAAAGTAAGTAATATAACCACTTTATAATGCTATTTAAAAATAATAATAATAATAAATAAAAATTTTATTTATGTAAAATGACCATTTTGTCTGAAATGATCCATTTTAGATTCGAATTTCGTATTCAGTAAATGGGTACAGGATCCGACCTGGTAATGATGTCCCCTATAAATAGCATTTTGAACTCATTTCGGACTTAACTTCGAACTCACTCATTTCGAACTTCATTATAGACAACATTTCGGACATCAATCCAATTGAAATGATATATTCTTTTAGCAAAAGGATGAACACCATTTTTTATATGTAAGTTTCAATTATCTTTATAATTTTATGTCTTTAAATGAGGTTATATGTTAAAAAGAAGATAATATATGCAATTATATAGATGTTGTTTGTTTTCCTTCAGTTTTTAGTGGTTTTTAGGCTATTGTAGGATTACATGTGGTTATATGTGTATACTATAAATCTTAAAAATTTCTAATTCTGACTTGTCCAGAAAATGTGCGGAATGCGTAGAACAAGTCTGGAATGCGTAGAACATGTCCGGAATACGTCGAACACGTCCGGAATGTTGATCCAGAATGTTGATTTGGAAATTGGTTTTGGAATATGTTGATACGGAATTGTGTTCCAGAATGTCATCTGGAACATACAACAAATGCATAATTAATGATTCTTTTAATTGTAGCATGACAGAACATACGAAGTGGTTGTGATTGTAATCTACAAGCATGAACTCGGGTGGAAAGTCATGGCCCGGTTACAACACAGACCACTTTGTGCGGCCATGTTTGGTCATCTTGTTTTGGTGATTATGTTAATATGTTGATGGGTGTCAAATATCACCCTTTACTCTGTCACTATCTTATGTGCATGCAATATAATACTTTTCCTCTAGTTGACATGTACGAACTTGTATTTTCGATACACAACTATTTGGTATGCTTCCACAGGAAAGCTTTTTGTCTTATGATTGATTTATGGTTCAGCGACTATTTTTACCCTAGTTCATGTGTTGCGCAGTTCAACCAACGTGTATTTCAATTTGTCTTACATTCACTTTAACCTTATATATATATATATATATATATATATATATATATATATATGTGTGTGTGTGTGTGTGTATGTGTATATATATATATATATATATATATATATATATTATTTTATGCATTGTCCCCCTAACGAGTTGTTGGAGCCTACTCCTCAAGAACTTGCTGCTCTGTGGTAGACTGAGAGTGTGCCATAGATAGATGCTTCAAATTACCTTGAAATTTGAGTTATGGTGTTTATTTTGGGTTTGTTTTAAACAATTTCCTTATCACGATGTAGCATAAACAAGTTTATTTTGTGTATGTTTTAAACAAGTTTATCTGACAGAATAATAATTTTAGAATGTGTAAATCCATACAAGCATGACTACGGTTTATTTAGATCAACGATATCATATTTTTTATTAGTGTTTTGAGTAGTTTTGACATTAGATATATTCTTTGACCCAGCCTTACTTTTGACACTTGACTTAGTCCTACTTGAAGATTCAGTTTTTGTTGAATCTGCGGGAAACCGAGCGTCATAGTTTTGGTTTGTGTGATCGATCATTTGGCAACGACTGCATTTTTTCTGAATTAGACATTCGCCCCAGGAAGGGATACATTTATGATTTCGTAGTCGTCCAACTTGTCGGTAGTCTATAAATGGTGGTAATAGAACCATGACTTCATCTAGTTGTTTGTATTCAACTGGAATTGACACAAGAAACACAACCTCTATATATGTTGATCGATATGTTTCCATTATAAAGTATGATGACACCCATATACCGTAATGTTGATATCTCAGTTTCTTGAATAACGACATACCATGAGAATAAGGTATACCAGAAAATTATCATTTCCCACAGGTGCAGCAATGATATTCCAAGTTGACTATACCATTTTTCATTTGGTAAATCAGCTCATATCTACTTAAATCAATTAGGTATACACGAAAACCGAAGGATTTGGTGATCTTCTTTTCGATAACCTTCTCAGCATACTCAATAATATCTTTTTTGCTTTGAGCTATAAAAAATTATGTATATCTTGTCATGCACAGGAAATTATAGTAAATTACCATCAAAGTATTATAATTTAAATAAATACCTCCAGCACTACGTCGTTGACACCACCATTGTTGCATAATTGCTCGAAAGAAGTCAATCAACATTGTTATGGGTAGTTTTTGTGTGTCTTTTGATAACGTATTGATGGATTCGGCATTGTTTGATGTCATTATATTATACCGAACCATAGGGAAACACAACCTTGCCCATTTGTGGTGACTGATTATGTTTATCCATGTACGACAGTCTTCATTTAGGGCATAATGTATCCTAGCCAATCTTTCTTTGAAATCAAACTCTCAGTATGCTTTTGCAGCCTCCCAAAACAAAATTTCGGTTCTCTCTTGTTTGTCGATCTTTTTTCTCATACTCATCAACAAATGGCGATGATAGAGTTCGTGATATGCATTTAGAAACATGGCTTAAATGGTCATTTCAATTGAATTGGCTCTATCAGATATGATAGCTAAAGAGAGCATGTCCCCGATACATTCTTTGAGTCTTGATATAAACCATATTCATGAATCCTCACTTTCAGTTTCCCAACATTAATTGCAATATGTAGGATTTGGTTATTACCATTCATGACTACTAGTAGCAACATCGTGCCCAAGTATTTCCTTTAAGGTATGCTCCGTCAATGGTAATAATAGGACAAAAACATGTTTGAAACTCTCGAATCCACACAATAATTATTAATAGATTAGTCATTAAAGCAGACACACATGTAACAATAATTACAATAACTCATTATATAAGAAATAATACCACGGAACCGATAGCCATAAAAAAAAGTATTCAAATTGTTTTCATAACTTGTTTTTATATGTGTAACCGTCCCTGGATTCTTTTTCTCTAAATTGTAACAATATAAAGGAAGTCTTTGTAACAACTAGATTTTTCTCATACTTTATAAACAAAATTCACCCAAAATTTATCTAATATTATACATTAAAAACCATTGAGTAAGTATTTACAAACATAAGTAAGTATGAACAATACATACTAAAACTGCACCCAAGATTTGTTTGGTGTCATAAAGTTTTTTACAAAAAGGATGTTAATTTTATCCAAATTATCTTCTACGTTTCATGATTTTCTTTCCCTTGCTTTGTTTTATATTTTATGCTCAACACAAATCACACTCACAATTAAGCATACACATAATGAAAATTTTTATAACATGTTCAAATAAAAAAATGAAAAACAAATCTAGAGATCTGAAAAATGGTGAAATAGATCTTGATAGATCTTGGCAAGAGCCTAGCGGATATGGATAGATGGTTGTGGAAATGGATAGATCTGAACAAACCTAAGGTGAAACGCAACAAATTTGAACATAATTTGGGTGAAAAATGACATTGAGACCAAGCGAGACGGTAGTTATTCGCTCGATGTCCCATGGATGGCGCTAGTGATGCAACATCAGAATCTGGGTATCGGGTCTTATGTGTTGGATTTTGGATCTTGGATCGGAGATAAGATTCGTTAGTTGGTTCAAACGGGATTCCTAACTGCAACAGGTAACAATACCCTTAGAACCGCCCCATGGAATGTTCCTTGGGAGCAGGCTTCGACGATCAAGTTAGATTGGTGTGAGTGAAGAGATGGTCTCTTCTAGCCATAGAGATCAATGTAGGTGTGATGGATAAGTGTATGGTGTAGTGATCATATCTATGATGACAAATGCGGAATTTGAAATGATTTAGTGAATCATATAAAATCATTAACATGAAGAACACAAGGGTGTAAATAATCTCGTTTTAAGCTCTTATTAGTCTATAAAGTATTACAAAGTGGGTTATGCAAAAATACTCTCTCTAAACTAATATCTCACAAGTTCTTAAGGACAACTCATTACACACATACAAAAGGGTGAGCAACTAGAAGCATCCAAGCATGACTTTGCACCCTAACATTCTCCCTCTCAAAGTTAGGATTAGATGTCCCGACTTCAGTTTCCAAACGAGCTCGCGCGATCAAGACCAACTCCCCCTCGAAGTAATACTGGTCTTCCAATCCGCAAATGAATACCCAAGAAGCTTCGAATACCATTTCTTCATTCTCCCCATTTTTATAATCAACAAGTGATTATAAAAACCCACTAAGGTTGAGAAGCATCCCGCGAATAAACTTCACAAATCTCCCCCTCGATGTGTGCCAAACATGAAACCGCACAAAACTTTCATGAAAAACAATCACAAAAAGTCATGAAAGTTTTCCAATTTTTGTGAAAATTTTTGACTTTTAAGTGAGAGTTGCAAGAATTTCGAAAATCCAGGTAAAAGCCGCCAATATCAAAATCCTGCAGAGACCCGTTGCGCCTAAAACTCTCTAAGATGCGACACTTTGCTCCAAATGTGAAACTAGGCATAAAGTGCTAATTCGCATATACTACAAGACCTGATACGTAAATTCCTCCATTTCTTAGAATTTTCAACCCAATTGCGAAACTGGGTAAATTCAGCCAATTCTTCGAAACTTCAGGGATACGAAATTAAAATCATGCATTCTTCACAGATTTTGTCCCCATTTCAAATGTGGGTAGAAAATGCCAATTCTTTGATATTTGAGGGATTCGAATCGACACAACTTATTTCTTGTTCATATTCACTTCGAATCAGTTACGATCAGAGACCTTTGAACCTAGCATGTCGATACCCATTTTGAACCCAGTCGATCCTCCCATTTCTATCCATCGATCTCAACCTTCTCATACGCCATACTCAATTTACCCATTCGAACCTTAAGAGTTCGATTCCAA